GATTTCTGCAAAACACCAATCTTTACAATCAGAGGGGCGGCTAAGCAATAAAACTCTACTGGCCCGGCGCTAACTTACGTGCATGTCTTAGTTTTCAGTTTGCCATAAATTTCGAGAATCAAATCTTCAAACCAATAACTCATCACTTATAAATGAGACTTGCTGGTGAAATTTTATAAGAGAGCAGAGATGATTCTATCAAAATAGTTGTTTTCATACAAATTTCACCATCTTTATTGGGCTATTCATCATGGAAATGTGATGATGCAATATAATCTGTTTGGGGTTAAGACCCTGAGCATAGTAAATTTTCCTTTGTTTGTTTACCTGTCAAAACTATAATGCCACAGTATTCCGATTCTTGTTCTTGAACTTAAGCTAGATCCTTTTTATTATGAATAATGTTTTAAAAAATTCTTAAATTATTGGAAAGAATTTAAATAAGTTCAATCAAATTTCTATATTTTTATTTTAAAATTTAAAAAATTTTATTTAAAAATTTTTATATTTTTATTTTCAAATTCTTATATTATTTGAAAGAATTTAAAAATTTTTATAACACGTAGATCCAGTCGTTTGTCAATTGTTAATATTTTTATCAATTTATTAACGTGATAAAAATAAAAAAACAATTTGACCTTTATTAATTTTTATAATTATAATTATATAATTTTATTATTTATTATTAAATTAAAAAAGGGAAAAACTCTCCATTGGGGAGCACTAGAGATCCCCTAAGTAGCCCCAGTCGGGTTCCCAAGGGAGCACCAGACCTGAAAGGGGAGCTAGGGAGTGATGGGGAGCACCGATCGGTGCTTGTTTTTTCTTTTTTAAATATATAAAAATAATTTTTAAATTAATCAAAAAATATTTAAATTTTTTTTATTTTTGTTAACAGTATTTGTAATTTTGAGATAAAATGACTATTTCGAAACTTAATAAATTTTTTTATAATTTTGATTAAAACTTAAAAGAATTAAGATATTTTACTCTAAGAGAAAATGTGATATCATATTGAGACCTTATTCCATCTGTACAATATTGCAAAGGTCTCTCTCAAAGTGAGTTCCTTCACCCTACATGATAATTGCAAATAAAATAGGCTATAGATTTCGTTTCATTTCTTGTTTTCCCGGTTCTACACGAAGTCATCTACTGGCAATGTGCTGAGAGGGGGTTGCATAAGGAAAAGTAGAGAGCTGAAAACCAGAATGAAAACAGTAAACACAATGAGTGATTTGCAAGCATCAGCATTTCGTCCAACAAGTGTGATTTGTTCCTCTTGACCGGCTCTCGAAGATGCATCGTCCAACTGAAGCGTAGGGCATGTGAAATATCCATATGCTATACCAGTGAAAGCTGCTCCGAAATGAGTCCTGCAATTGTCAATGCACAACTTTAAATTTCAGTAATAAAATAATGAGTTAACTTTTGCTTTCTTGTTAAAACAATGTGATATATTGAGTAGCAGAAACCTCACCAGTCATCAATAGGACCAAAATTACTTAATATGCAGCTGAGAGCAGTCACAAGGATTGCCTTTTGGAACATCCTCTCTGAAATGTCCTTTGCAGTTACATCTTTGTTTTGTATTTGATAAATCAGCCAGGCACCAATCACAGCAAAGACTGGTCCCTGCAGGGAACAGATAGTCTTAGTTTGGAAACAACCTAGTGCAACTGTGAAGGAAATAGTCACAAACTTAATGCTTTGAGCATTGCCGTTAAGAGTTATGTAACTAAGAGTGGGGCAAAGAGAGGAAGGAGGAATGCTGCTCACCGTCCCACCAACGGTTGGTTCTGGTGTATGGAGAAAGCTTATCAAGTTTCCAGAGACTCCACCAAGCAAGTATATCAAGACGAATGTAAAGGATCCATAACGTCTGCAAACTTGAGGCCCGAAAGAAAGAAGTGCCCAACAACCAAGAGCTACATGAAGAATTCCAGAATGCTGCATCACCAAATCAAAACTAATTAGACGGAGATTATAGAAAAAGTCAGAAACCAAAACAGAATGAGATCATGCAAATCAAATGAGTGTAATTACCTTTGTCACAACAGTTGACATATTATGGTGAGTCCCAAATATTATTGCATTGACTATACTCTATTTAAGATAAACTCTTCTTTTGTCAAACATAATTAGTGGATGATTTATTTGGCAACTATGTAATGGATGCTACTTGTTTGCACAGAATCAAAGCTGCTTATTTTGCTTGAAATTGTTTACAGCAAACAATGCAAAGTGACATAAAGTGTTATGCAAAAACAGAACAGTAAAGGAACACGAACCCAGTTGTTTCAATCTTGTACCAGAAACATTGGTGTCACTAGCCTCCACCATTGTCCAACAAGGATCAGATCGTTTATTTTCGCTCCATATAATGAAGGGAGGGAAAAGAGCTCCAAGTCAGAGTTTCTAACTGGAGTGGCAATTTCAAACAGAAAGACAGCGATGTTTATGGAAGCCAATATACTTCTGCATCCAAATAAAAACATGGAAGCGTATGAGATATCATATCATCTGCCAGACAAAATTTCCAGCACTAATACATAGATAATGTAAGAGCATGGAATTTAACTATAATAAGCATAAAATCAATTAAGATGGGCTAGTGATTTACATTAAGTAGAGATCAGAAGCTTCATCATACTGCTGCAAAGCTTCAGATCTCTTAGAGCCACTACCAACATCCCTTACTCTGAAGCCTACATCACTTCTCAGTTTTGCTTCCTCGTCTATCTTAGCATCTTCACTGACAGAAAATGGAGTTGCTATTGGGTTGCTTTCAGGGTTTCGGCCACTGGCAATGGATGATGATACATTGTTTCTAGAATTTGAATCTGAAGAAAGTCAAAAGAGATTCAGACAGCTAGACATGCATGTTTTCAACACTTTCCACATGAATTTAGAAAAAGGCTGCTTCTAAAGCAAACAAAGGAAATAATCTTACTAGTAATATGAAATTAGTCCAGTGGGTGATGATAATACACTCTATCAAGATGTTACAAATTGTAGGAGTAGTGATTATTTTGCATCTTATCGGACTCTAACCAATTTAAAGGACCAGACAGGCAAACATTCATAGAATCAAATAGTTACAGAAAAATAAACTTTTGACATAATAGAGTACCTTCATCAAGTTTGCTAAGATAAGCATCTAGAGAGCTCAACCTCATCTTTGTGTTACTTTCACCACTATTATCGAGCAACTCCACTGTCTTGCTCGAAGAAACTGAAGAAGTCTTCTTCGCATCTTCTTGACGTTTTCCAAAATAAGATTCCAATAATCTCAGCTGTGATTCATTAGGACCAGGCCCTGAATTTTCCTTTGGCGATGCTTTCCTGGATAAGGTTCTTAGATGAAATTTTGTGTTATGCACACCAGTCAAGGTCCAAAGACGCCATTGCAGTCTGTTAAAACCTCTGTCTCTGTTTCCAGTGTCAGCTTTCGTTAAGGTACCGGAAGAAATATGCAAGGGATGCCACCCCCTGCATCTGTTGTCACAACTAGAAGAGAAACATGCAGAACCCTCTAAAGGAGCAGTGCAGCCACATATGTAGCCTTTCTCAGTCAGTCTTTCTACCTTAGGAATTAGAAAATTTTGATCTTTATATGGCATTTTATAACATGATGGAACCACAGCCATGCTGACCTGCAACCATAATTGATGAAAACAAATAAATTTAACAGTGAAATAATGCTTGAAATCACCACCAAAAAAAAAAAACCCTTATTCTTAGCTATGCACAAAAAAAACTAGCACTAGTTTTCAAAATGAGAATACAACATTTATGGGCTCATTCCTGCTGTAATATGATCAACCGCACCATGGGAATTCTGGCCTCTAGCTACAGTAGTAAAGCTACTCAGCCAATTTAAGCAGCAAATTACTCGAGTCTCTGCCTAATGGTCTGCAAAATGGCAAATCATGTTCTAATGGCCCATCACTATCTAGATTTTTCTTTTTGTCATTCCAAGCAAAAGTACCTGAACAATTACGTACATGCTAGCCCATTGGAACCATCTGTACACTCTTAGCAGTAATCAGTCCAAAACGGCCAAAGTTCAAAGACATGAAAATTCAAGAGACTATGAAGCTTTGACATCGAATCAATGAAAGCATCAGGATCAATCACAGCATACCTATAATCTTTTCGACATTCAGAGAAATCAAACACTTGAAAAATAAATATTAAATATTGAGATTCTTAATTTAAAACGAACCCAACATAGCATTTTGATCTTAGTTTCAACTTCTGGAACATGAAATAAGAACAACAACACACAGTTTCGACTTTCATCTTACTCTTTTAACCGCCTTTTGATCACACTTCATTCATGCGACATATGATCGTGTAAATTTCACATGAATCTCATCTGATAAACATCTAATGACGTAAAAATGTATCTCACAATAACACATTTGCAATTATATGAACACCTTTTCTTAATTTTCTGGAGTATATGTTAGCATGGATGCATCGTTTTCGTTTTGTCAGCTGAACAGGAAGAAAGAGAAGAAAGAAAACAGACGAAAACTTACGTACCCCTACAAGAGAGAAGCTCAAAGTCCCAAGGAATCAAAAAGTACTTTCCAAAGAGATTGGAGTATGGTGAAAGAGATGATGAGTTGCAGACATGGATTGCACTTTTTAACTGCCGTGTACTTCCATTAATGGAGGTTCATAATTGAAGCAAACCTTGGCGGGGGTTGGGACACTGGGACTACTTGAAAAGTACAGTAAACGACGTGGAAGGAAATCTATTAAATCTTGCCTTATCTTTGTTGGCCCACTTGTAAGATGCCACGTGTGATCTGATTCAATTCCCGTTGTTCGTGATTCGCCCCACCCAAGATTTGCATGGACCCCATATACCGACATCCGTTTTCTTAAATTTCCTTTCCTTTTTTCGATTGTTAATTCATTCTCCCTTTTTGGTCAATTAAATAGTAGAATGATATTTTAAAATTAAATTATTAATTGTAAATAAATGTTCCATACATAATATTCTTGGTATTCATATTACATTTCTTTTAATACCCTAATTTTTTGGTTGAAAAGTCTGAAACAAATCATTATTAAATATGACTTTATATTATAATTTAATCACTTCCTCAATTTTCAATCTATCCATCATCCAAAAAACATAAAAAAAAAACTATATTTTAATTAAATTTTTTGAATAATTTCAATTTAATGTTTCAATCATAAAAATTGTAAACCTCGCGAATAAGTTTAAAAAATTATCACATGTTCATTAACTCATAGTTAAGAAAATTAAAACAGTAATATAATTACTAAATGAACTTGTATATAAAAGTAGTCTGACTCGAACACACCATAAGTATGGTGGGTATATATAGAAATTAGGGCGAAGAAAATGAATATACCTTACAAGAGAGTGTAAGGCCACTCGCTTCTTTCAATTAGGACCCTACTTTCTGTACAAATGGACCATATTTTGAAGAAAACTTGGCTAGACAATCAAAAGTTTGGTGACTCAACAAAGATATTAATTCAAGCAGCTGCATTGTCAACCACAATGTTAAGGCTGTGGTCAGAAATGAATACCAGGGTTTCTCAAATTGGTGGGACTTCTTATAAGCCATTGGATTCTGATTAGGACATACTATTTAATTCAGAACGCAAAGCTCCAAAGGATCTCATATCAATGTTCACTTGCTACAACACTACTATTCGAATCAAGTTCGAACAGTTTGAAAGGTATTTTAAATGCTAAGGGTTTTTCCTTTTCTTTTTGTATTTATAATTTCGAGTTATATATATAATGATAATATAATTTTTTCTCATTCAGTAAATATTTTTATGTTTCATTTCGAATCTGGAATTATGTATAAATATATATATATATATATATATATATATAAATGCTTTACTTGTATGCATAAGATAAAACCATAAGTCAAGTTAACCTCAGAAACCATCACCTAAGTTCAAAACTAAACAATGTTTGGTGGCTTGGCTATGTGTGGGGAGGAAAAAAACAGTTATTATTATTACATAAAAGAAGATATCATCTCTCTCATTAAAAATAAAAATAAATCACATTCATATTATAGTATTCATTGTGTATACGTATAAAAGTAAATCTTGATATATACAATTTTGACGTAGGTTTGGATCATATAGGAAACTATTTTTTTAGAGAATGAAAAGAATAAAATGTTAGGTGAAGTCGAAAATGGAGAATCCAATGTCAATTCGTGGAGTTAGGTTGGGTTGGACCAAAAATCTACCACGTTTTTCTTGTATATTGCTATCTTTAATTTTTTTTTTTTACTTGTAAACATTAGAGAATGATATAATAGCTGAAAATTTTTTTGAACTATTTATGAAAGTAAAATAAATTATTTTTTATATTTTTATTATATTAATCAAGCTCTTTTTTTTATTTTGTATTAAATAGTCTATTACAACTATTGATTGATTAATTATCATTTGTCAAAATATAACCTGTCATTTTACTTCTAAGTAGTATTAACGTGAAATGTCAAATATTACATAATTATATTATTATACCATATTAATTTGTCATATCAGCATATTAACATGGCATATTAATATCATATGATATTAAATGACAATTGGCATGTTGATTAAGAGCCTGTTTGGTTTAGTTTATTTTTAACTTCAAAGTTATTATTAAGTTTTTATAAAAAATAATAGTTTTTAGAATTAAGTTAAAACTGTTCGGTAAACTATTTAACAAAATAAATTATATAAGCTATAATTTTGGTTAAATTACTATAAAAAATATTATGCCATCTTTAATCACTTAATAAATTATAATGTAATGTTTCAAGTTTATATATAATTTTTTATGTTAAAATAAAATAAATCAATAAAAAAAAGAATAATTTTCAAACTTATATAGTAGTAATAGTATTAGATTTTTGTTGATCTAGCAAGCAATCGGAACATGATGTTTCAATTTAAAAAAAAAAAAACGATTAGTAAACATTAAAATTTTTTTTGATGAAAAAAGAAGAAAACTTTTAAATAGTATCTTAATGCAGTTTTGAATTTTAAATTTGTTTCTCTTAATCATTGTAAAAGAAAAAAAAAATTTTGATATTTTATCGTTAGGTCTTTTAATTTTTTTTTCAATGAAGTTTTGAATTTTAGATGTTTTTCTCTTAATTTTTATAAGAATAAAAAAATTCTAGAATTTGATATTCTGGATTTTTTGTTTTTTCTACTAATTTTTGTAAACAGAGATAAAGAAGAAAAAAACTGTGATTTACATTGAAAAATAATAATTTGTAGAAAGAAGGAGAGGAGAGAGAGATTGATTGAAAGAAAAGTATTTTTTGACAAAATTAATATGTTTTTAAAAGATAGACTTTAAGCTCTTTTTTAAGTCTCTTCTTTTAAAAATATTGTTCTTTAAAAAAATTATTTTTTTAAAGAGTTTTTCAAAAAATCATGTTTAATTTGATTTTCGTTAATAAAAAATAAATAAATTGAAAAATGTCAGATCAAACATATACTAATAATAATTAATCAATTATTAATTATAATTATTTATGTAGTTTAAAATTAAAATTAAAATATAAAAATTTAATTAAATATAATAAATTATATAAAATTTTATTTAAATTTACTTGAAGTGTTTGAAAATGGTAACAAAGCCTGCTCACGACTGAAACGGGTTAAAAATTTGAATGGCCAAATCACTATAAAAGGGGCTTCAAACCAAACCCACCTAAATATACAATTTGGTCCATTGCATAGCTAGGGCACGCTCAATTGCAAAAGAGACAGTTTCGCGCCCAGCTCTACTAGAAATTTACAATTTTCCCGGGAATTCCCAAAAATTTCCCATACTGTGCTTTTCTCAAAATCAGTCCCGCCACTAAGGGGAAAGAGGGAAACCCAAAACCAAAACCAAATTTGAAAAGCTCCCAAAAACAGAAACAACCAAAAGGCATATATTCATATGTTCACGATTCAATGAATCATTTGGTTGAGAATTTGAGAAAAGCAAATGGCTGTTGCTTCAACTTCTGCTTCGAAAATGGAAGGAGGGAAGCAAACAACGGGCAATGGTGGAATTCGTGTCGTCGGACGAAGAATTTTTGATTCTGAAAGTGGACAAACATGTCACCAGGTAATTTTTTTTTCCTTAAATTCCATTTTAACTGAATTTTTGGAATGGTTTTTACCCTTTATTTTTGGGTTTTATTTTTAGTTTGTTTTGTCCTTTTACTTTTCTTTTTTCTTTTGGTTTGACAAGAAAAAATTGTATGAAACAATGATTTTGCACCAGCAGATGTTACTTTTATTTAAATTCTGACATATGTTTGTTTCTGTAATCTATCAGCTTCTGAACACTCCATTTTCTTACAGGGTTTAAATTAAAGAAAAGATTGTAAATACAATTTTCTCACGGTCTTATTGAGAAGAAAATATCGTCTGAAATTAATTTCGCGTTAACAAGTGTTACTTTCATTTGAATTTTATATACCCTTAATAATCATGTTAAACTATGGATTTGACTTTTATACTTTTTGTATCTTTTATTTTAGTTTTTGGGTTTTCTTTTTTGTTCTCTACCATCTTTTTATTCTACTTCCTTGATGTAAAAACACCCATGTCTTGTTTTCTTCTTGTTTGGGACACTGAGACGTGTTTCAATTGTTTGACTTTGTCACTGGAACTCACTCAGGGGTGAGTGTCTGATACGGGTTGTGTCAATTCAGTTTGTTTCTAAGTTTTTCCATATATTCGGTGACTAAGATGGAGATACTGATGCAGCTCAAATATGTTTTGGTGTCTAATATTGATACTTAATGGAAAATAAAGAGTTGGAGCAATATAAGTTTGGCTTAATGGAATTACTTTGAGCATTATATTGAAACCAGTAGATTTCAGTGCACATGGAACTTTACTTTTTAAATGTTTTAATATTTTGATTGATAATTTTAGCTTTAGTTTTTCCCCTAATGTTTCCTTTTGCCTTGGGATCAAATGCTAAAGTGCCGACAAAAAATAAAGGGTTTCTTGGCTCCATGCAAGAAATTGAAAAAGAACAAGCAATGTCCCATTAAGTATTGCCGTAAATGCTTATTAAACAGGTTGTTACTTTAACCCTTCTTGTGCAATCCAGTTAATTGAATGATGCCATTCTCTTATTAGTTTTTTTGTTGGATTGATATTGTATAGATATGGGGAGAATGCAGAAGAAGTCGCATTGTTGGTCGATTGGAATTGTCCCAAGTGCAGAGACAATTGCAATTGTAGTCTCTGCATGTAAGCATATTGCAATGGG